CTGGTAGTTCTCCCTATAATAGTTAAAAACTAGATGATTTAAAGGGAATTTGCTAAAAATTTCAGTCAAATTGATCCACTCTGAACTGAATATTAAGCGATTGAATTTTGGGCCTAGCCTCGATCATCATTACTAAACTCGGTACGATAAAAACATAGTCTCGATTACCCATTTTTTGATTTAATCAGAAGCAGTAGACCGGGTTTTATTCCAGTAAATATTGCAGACTAGCGATACCATGCCATCGAGGGTTGGTTATGTTCTGGATAAGTTAATTAATGTCTAATTAATAATTTAAATAACATTTCAGGCCTAAAGAAAGAACTGTAATTGGCAAATTGAGCTCTTGCATAATGTATGTTTAAAGAAAATCTGATAAACTTGAAAGTACATAACAAACAATATACAGTTTCTTGAGATAAACACTCTTCACAGGCGTCTTCATGGGCGCCACAATTTGCAATGGTTAGATATATGGCACCGGAGTCCGCAGAGGTTTGCCGAGTGAGATCTTATGATTTAAACCGCACCCCACCCTGTCACACACACACCATAATACACCTACATCACCACTACCTCGCACCTTCTTTTATATTAAGCAATACGCTTTGCTGATACACAATAAAAGGGGGTTTAACGTTCTACTTATCTGCACCAGCCGGGCTTATGAAGATGGAACCATAATACAAGACCTATTAAACTAGTCAGGCAGGATGCCATTTTTAGAACATTTACTATTTCTAACTCATCTATCAATTTCACCGTCATTTCGCCATGATATTTAAAACTGTTGGGAGATTTATTTTCTCTTTTCTGGAATTTCAATTAAAGGTTTAAACATGTAATTATGAAATAATTTATTTCACTTACTTTCTAGTACATTTCTGTCTTACAACTAATATTTTTGCGAATTACTGAAACACGGGTTTTGTAATGCTGTCAATCAAGTTTATTTAGACACATACGCACTGCATGCGCTGTTCTTTAGTCCGATTATTCTGACTCTTCCATGTCACTGAATCTTTCCGTGAAAGATATATGTTGGCAGACGTTGGCCAGTTTCTGTCCTATAACTTATATTTTGCGAATTACTGAAACACAAGTTTTGCCTTGCAGTCAGTTAAGTTTTAGACATCCATGGCATGACAATGAACCTTTCCGTTAAAGATATATGTTGACAGATGTTGGTCAGTCAGAATTCTAGGGACTTTCGAAGTATCGGAAGATTCGAATCCCTACTTGACTTCGAAACAACTATCCTACACATCATCTTTCATTTAAGCATACCGTTCTTACATATCTTCATTTTTGGAGGGGAAGACAAATTCATTCATCGTCAAAATCTGTATATGTTTTATGTAATAAATATCTTTAGTATCTATATAGTAATTCGACTGCTACCATGACATGAACGCCTAACTTCACAAAATTAATATTTCTGGATTATTGTGTCGGAGTCGTGCATAGAGACTCTTAAAAGATGACCCGATTCCTTGGCGAATCGGAAATAAATAAACCTAAACTAACAGCGCCAAGCTTTTGTGACTCTAACCGAGACCGACATTGTCTCCATATAACAAGTCACGTGATATCCTACATATGAAAGTTGATGGTGTGCGAAAGTTGCTATGAAAGCGTGAAGGACAAATAGGATGTGGCAGAGCGCAAATGTAAAATGTAATGAGGGAAATGTAAAATGTAGACACGTCAAAAAAGCATTTTCCCGCAAAACATTTGTCATTTAACACTTAACATTTGAAATGAAATGGGGTTTAACGTCCTACTGTTCTGCTCCTATACTGGGCTAATGAAGACAGGCATACGCCATACAGTGTGCTATGAGGGAAATTTTGCCCGGGCAGCGGCACTATCGCCTACTCTTATATCGAATTCCAACTGCCAAGGGATCTTTTACGTGCATTCTAATGTATACACGGGACCTCGGTTTTTCGTCTCATCCGAAGGACTAGACAACTGTTCTTGTCAGCCCCTCCGTTCTGCACCACTGACAAGGGGAAACCACGTCAGAAAATCAGGATGAACTTTCTCGGCCAATGCAGGGATCGGGCACCCGACCTCCAAGCTAGCGTCTTAACCACCTAGCCACCGACTTAACATTTGACGTTTTACATTTAACTTAACATTTGACGTTTTACATTTAACTTAACATTTGACGTTTTACATTTAACTCTTGCCTTAGAGGTATGTTGACTTCATCATTATCGGTATTAGGATTTTGTACATTGTACTTTTTACATATAATCAATGGAAACGACATTTTCGTAGAGCATTTAATATTGGCAGCCATACCCTTCCATAAATGACAAGATATCTATACAGGATGGCGATTCTCATTCTAACCCCGCTTCTTTCTTTCAAATTACACCCATTTCAGTCACCACAGATAACCAAACACATAATTGTGAGATATCGGCGACACTACCGAACAGATGAATTTTAATCATTATAACAACATTACAATAAATAAAGACCATCATATATACAACCAATGTTATTAAAATATATAATTAAACAATAAATATCTCAATAAACTAACTATCAATAAAACAAAAACCCGTGTTGTCTGTCTCGCAGTATCGCCGGAAGTGACGCAAACGTGTCAATGCACGCACGCATATATCATTTATATCTACCTTTAGAGATGACTATATGTCATATTAATATTATGTGAAACAGCAGTTGACTAAATGTCATGATGAATGGATAATTTCGTCTTTACCCCCATCAAGTTAGTTGGTCTGGACACCATAGTTCTATATTTGCTGTATATTACTATGATTCATAAAAACACATAAAATGTATCATCTAAATAAAGATTTATTGCCAGTATTGTTTATGTGATTGATTGCCCGTGTCTGTTAAATGAAATTATTATTAATTTAAATGTCTGAAAGTCTCCAATGTCTGGAATAATAATCAACAATGAATTGTTTTCTCATATAATAACGTGATTTCTAAATTTGTGTATAGTAATAATGATCATTTTCCAGAGCGCTCAACATATGTAATTAATGCTATATCTTGTATTTTGCCTATTTTGTATAGTTCATACTAAAATTGTTAATGTCGTATTGAAATGTGGTCGTATATTGTCTTGCGGTCGGCCCGCAGGTCCGTCCGTCCGTCCAGCGTCCACAATTTCTGGTGGACGCTCTATAGGCTAAAGTTAATATCCGATTGACTTCAAATGTATACACAGTGTCATGAGACGAAGAAGCCAATTGATTTTCAGCGATTTCCGATAATGACTGACAGAGTTATGGTCCTTGATTACTTGGAAAAAATTTGTGTATGCTCTAAAGGCTAAAGTTAAAGACATATTATGGGAGATTAGATAAAAAAGCTGGCAGTTCCCATTATAATAGTTAATAACTAGATAATGTAAAGGGAATTTGCTGAAAGTTTCAATCAAATTGATCCACTCTGAACCGAGATTTTAGCGATTGAATTTTCAACCTAGCCTCGATCATCATTACTAACATCGGTACGACTTAGTTGTCTTAGGCGTATGTTTCGTTGTGGATGAGGTAGAATTAAAGAAACAGTCTCGAAAATATATTTTAATGAATAAAATTAGTTCAATTGTATGCAGCAAAACTGAAGACGTTCAATCTAACGTCTGGCGCTCTGGAAACGTTCATTCTATGTACAAACACCCGAACCTCTTGAAACGTTCATTCTATGTACAGACATCCGAAAATTTGAAAACGTCCATTCTATGTACATACATCTGAAGCTCTGGAACCTTTCATTCTAATCATCACCAGACATCTGAAGCTCTGAAAACGTTGATGTTATGTAAAGACATCTGAAGCTCGCGAAACATTCATTCTAATCATCACCAGACACCTGAAGTTCTGAAAATGTTTTAAAAACGTTCATTGTACAGACATCTGAAGCTCTGGAAACGTTCATGCAATTTATGTTCAGACATCTGAAGCTCTGGAAACGTTAATTCTAGTCATGTACAGACATATAAAACTCTGGAAACGTTCATTCTATGTACATACATTTAAAGCTCTGTAATACTTTTGAATACTACAATTTTCCAAACGGCTATAATTATGATAACTGGACTTGACAATTTGGCGTTTGATTTGTACATATCAGATCATCCTTTGAACTCTGTGAATGCTCTTACATAGTTTGTGAAAAACACACTGATTCATGAACCCAACTGAGATGGCAATATTAGCTATGATCTGTCCCTGGTTTCATTTAACAGCATTTATCTTATGTCTACCCGAAGTTTGTAAAAAATTCGTTCTGTAAATATGCATGGGCGAAGGCGCATGAATACTGATGTGTACATGTATAACTTAAAACCAGTTGAAATATCGTTCTGCCTCTTCCGTCAGATTAAATTGAATACCTCATTTTTCAAATTAAAACGTAGGTATGCAGTTTGCTTTGGATGAAGCTATTGATTGAGGATATTTTCAATGAAAGGAGGCAAGTCTCTAACTCAGTATCATCGACAGTCTTAGACATTGCAAACACGACTTGTTGGTCAATTTAAATCAACATTGTTTAAATTGACCGTAATATTTAAGACAAAATGAAAATTTTAAAGAATGTATTCGAGCGCGATTTGTAAAGAAGCGACATGTTGAACGACGCTAAGCATATCCTAAACGGGAGAATACTATCGGTGTAGACTGGAATAACCAGACGCCAAAAGACCGCTATTCAATTTAGGCTCTTCGCGTATTTCGCGGAACATAACTGAATAGAAATTACAATAAAAACAGAAACGATTGAATGTAAATCAGTTTATATACATTCATATTACATTGTTATATGCGTTGCGACCCATTTGTGTCCAATTCAAGGTACCAAAAAATAACGATTTAGCTCCTTTAAGTTTACATGGGGTCTTTCAAATATCAACCCACTAAACGTAAACGAGAAACAAACACTTTAGATTTAATACAGCAAGTGCTAATCCTTTTATTTTCATATATCTTTTTTTTTTTCAGGGATACGAGTTATTTTCCGAGGAAAGGCATTTGTTCATTGGACAGATCAGAATATGCGCGGTCCGGGAGAAAGCCGGTACCGAGAAATACGACACCATTCCGCCACTGAAGAATATTTTGATGTTTCGAACACACTTCTATCAAAAGGTTTGTCTCCGTTTTGAGCTGTCTCTCATTATTGATATCTCAAAGATACACAACAACAATTGTTTGGGAGATAAATATTCAAGTATGCATTTATGAATTACTTTGTAATGTAATCCCAGACAAAGTTTACATTTCTCTTTATCTAATTTTGTTTAATGTACGTTTCTTGTAATAATTAATACATATTGATGAATATTGGCATCACACACAACTTGACATTGTGCTTACTGGCCTGTTCTAACAAATTAACCAATCCCAATACATTGTTTATAGACATGGTTTATCAAGTCTCTACTGCGGCTGTCTTCGTCTAAAACAAACTGATCATTCAAATCCGTCTTCATTGGTCTAGTTGGTGCAGAAAATTAGGACAACCGAACCCCATTTCATTTTCAAACTAGGATAATCTTTTATGGTTATTGACTGAGTTTATTCCTTAAATATACCAGGGAAAGTTTCTTTAATAATGAAATACCGTGTTTTATGCATGTATAAATATATGTAACGTATTATTTGAACAGAGCTGATATAGACATAGAGAATTTCCTACCAGTCTTTTTTATATCAAAAAAGACGAGTAGGAGATTTTATTTATCACCCAATCCCTTCTTACATGCACAGATAGATAAATATAATTCTTTGTTGTAGATTTCTCTTTTACTGAACGTTACAGCGTAGTGATACATCATTTTTTGACAGCAATTCAACCATTGCAAAGTCCTTTATATTGACCCAGTTTTTCCATCAAGGTCAATTGAATAACAATAGTTTATTTTTAATACAAAAAAGAAGTTACTTTTAATAAGAAATGAACTGTTCTTTGAAAATAAAAAAAGTAGTTCCTTTTCAACTGACCAATCAAATTCATGTAAAGCGATATCTCCTAAGGAGATATCGCAGTAGATTATAAAATATATCACACAAGCGATATCTACTGTAGAATGTATTATTGGGTGATAAAATGTATTTGAAGTCCTTTCTCTTCAGAAATTGCATCCATAATTTATATATCGTACATCACATTTACGTTGTGGTAACTGCCACGAGCTATTAAATTAAATCACTCAGAAGACCGGTAAATTATTATTATGTCTAATCGTAATAATGAGATTAAGCGGTAGATAGTCTATACTAATTCAATAATCAAGAGGAAATTATTGATAATTTTATCCAGACTTATTACATTAGCTATAGCGGCAAAAATACTCCTGACTGGAATTAATGTGTAGCGTATGAAATAGACAGCGGCCATCATTCTATTTACAATGTATGGTGTTATTTTTAGATTTTCATAATTTTTGACAGACAATTACTACTGTGTACACTGTAAAACGTAGGCCATTGATGTATAGAGCCAATAAAGTCGACCAGTAGGTCTACGTAGAGGAAGCTAATTATTTATTCTATGACGTCAAGATGAGTGTCATACTATAACCGAGTGAGTGGCCAGGTCAACCGGGTTTGATTCCATGGTTAACCGATAAACAGCGTCTAGTCGTTGGGGTAGGACGACAAACCGACGTCCCGTGTACACCTTGACGTACACATAAAATAACCACTGGCAGTTGAAATTCATTATTCCGGATTGAACAGAACCGCATAAGGTGGTTAATCCTGCAAACAATACCGGGTTAGTCAGAGCGGTCAAAATTCAAATTATTGTGGGGTGCCCAAAATTAGGAAATCAATTTTATATCGAGTAGTGTCTGTTCATTTCCAGTCAGTGTTTTCCACTAATAAAACTTTAACTTGATCAGAGAATGTCAGACTTGAAGTTGTGTTGTCTCGACCTTATGACTGTTCCCTTGGTATTTGGTTGGTCTTGTGTCGTGCTTCCATTCTAGATCAATGCGGTAATTAAACTATCTCCGTGCTGTGTGTTTACTTTCATATGGTTAGACGTTTCCTTCCAAAGTTTCGTTTCTAACCCAGACAAGACGGACTACACAGGCGCCCTAGTCCAAAATTGCGGTAAAATTGGTATCGATGTGTTGTCGATGAAAATAACTCGAGGTAACTGGCACCGTTTACACGTTTTGATTGAATTTCTTATCTGAGAGAAAACAGAGAAAGGCTTCCGAAAATTGATTTATGGCTTGGAATCAAATTGTTGGCATATGCTAACAGTGAATTTAATTTAGTTGATTCGACCACCTTGTTTCATTATCTGTGATAGGGATGTGCCAGTTTTCAACCCCGAACGATTATATTTAAGCAGAAAATAAATTGACTATTATTTGGCTCGGTCTGGGCTATTTTCATAGCAGGATACATTTAAAGGGCACATAGGGTAAACCGCGTAACATTTATACGTGCTCAAATGTCGTATGTGTTGATATACCAACATTAAATTTCGTCTAAATCCACTCTTAATTGAGATATATTACCGCAAAAACACAACATAACCTAACACACTTTAAATTTCACAAAGGCGTATGACGTCACACAGACCAACTGTTTATTGGAAGTCTGTAATACTCTTCCCCTGTATATATGTATATTCCAACATGCACTAGTCGGTGATTAGTACCACTGTTTAAGGACCATGTAGAACTCGGAAATGTGAATTCAGACTGATATCTCTGTTCACATTAATCCATTGCCATCACCTTGATTCTTTATAACAAGGAAGAACCCAGCATATCGCAATATTTCTGAAAAATATCTTGGAAGGAGTTGACCACTTCGAATTGTTGCAACGTGAGGTGAAAAGTAACTTAAAGGCTGTGACGCCACTTCAGAGGGGATTTCCCTATTATCCGCTTTCTCTTACCCATTGCTCCTCAAAATTATGAATGATGTAAATTCTAGCAATTGTTACGAATTCTATACTAAAAAGTCAACAGAAAGTGTCATGAGAAAATGGAGAATTGTTATAAATTGAGTAAATGCAAATTAAGTAAATTTATTGTTATGCACCCTTTCAATTATGTGATTATCTGTTGTAAAAGGTATATTAGCTTTCCGTTCTTTAATCAAAACTATTGCTGTGTAAAACCGCTAAATTAGCATAAGTCTATTTGATTAGATCAAATTATGATAGACCAAATGGTCAACGTTGTTGCGTGCTTGGATTGTAAAGCGTCTGCAAGGCAATCAGATCCAAGACTGAAACTTTTTATCTGCTTCAGGCATGATTTTCGATATGTCATTTACAAAGAAGCCCAATACCTTGCCTCTGGAATCTAATCGTCGACACATTGATAAATATTAGACAGTTTTCCTGATAGACTGGTTAACATTTAAAGCTGAACTCCGATTACAAAACTACAGAAATAATTAAATAAAACAAGGTAACATCCTAAACGACCGCCATACTTGGTTTAAATTTGAAGAAGAAACATGGCGATCGCTTAGGGGTAACAAAAAAAAGACAGGCCACGCCCACATCCAGTGTCAAGCAAACTGTCCACATCCGCTTAGTCAGTCAACTACCAATTACCTCCTGACTGATCGAGGTTCTTTCACTATCACTACTATCAGTTAACTAAAAATATTATTGCTACACAATTATTATGTCTGATCATGTACATGTTATTTTACTAATTAGATGAAATAAGCCAACCACGATGTACTTTTGCTCTAAAGAAATGAAACATCTTTCAGGGAGCTAAACGTCTAACTAAATATTTTCCATAATATTCGAATTAAAAATCCCAGATTATAATTCGATATTGTTCCATTTCAATCAATATTGATGTTGTTATCTTGCTGTGAACATATGAGATCCTAATATCCAATATTTAAGACACAAAGATCATTTTAAAACCAGAACACGAGTACAATGAACAAAGAATAACATATCCTACAAGGATCGCCAGTATCCCCAGTGTCAAAGCTCCCTTCTACTCCACTAATTACTGGGTCAATTCACGGGGTTTTCGCGAATTCAAATTATCTACCCTAGAGCTTAGGATGATTCTACGAAACAATCAAAAACAGTTTACATCCGAGACGTAGCGTCTTTGTTTTACATTCACTACAATAAAGCAGTTGGTACGATCAATTATGATGAGAAGGGTTGCAAGAAATTTAATGTCAAAGAAGTCCTATCTTAGTTGCAATAAAATGCGAGTTGCTTCCCTTCGGCCACTCGATTGGTAGATAAATATAGCAGATCGCGTATTTCACCGAACATAATTGATTAGAAATTACAATAAAACTTTTAAAAATTATATATAAATCACTATATATACATTCGTATTTCATTAATATGTACTTTTAGATCCATGTACGTCTTATTTTAAATTCCAAAGAATAGAGCCATACGCGCTATAAATGGAAATTGGCGTTCCTAATCACTTCCGTTAATTTCGTTTTTGTACATTGAAAGTGCTAATTTTGTTAGTGTTTTAAAATTAAATTCATGTTGAATTTCGACAGAATTATGGCACTTATTCACTTCGTAAAATCTTGTGAGTATTTTAGCAACAAAATTGATCATGTAATATGATTGGAATTTATAAACAATGTTCGATTAAATAAATGAATTCTATTGATTTTCAACAATTTTCGTTAATTACCACTAGACCACTAGAGTTATCGCCTTCGTTCACTTCGAAAACTCTTGTGAACTTTCTAGTTACCAATGTTATTGCCCGATCAGCTTAAAATGTGTATGCGTTCAGAATTATTGTAATGAAGAAGAAGCCTATTGTTTTGAATAATTTCCATTAATTACTTTTAGAGATAATATGGCACTTTATTTAATTCGTAAAATCTTGTAAACAGTTATTGTCCGATTTGCTTGAAATTGTCATACATTGTTCAAATTAGTGAAACGCAGAATCCTATCTAATCTTATTGAATTTCAACAAATTCAATTGATTACTTCTAGAATTATCATCCTTGTTCATTTTGTAGAAACTTGTGAATAATTAACCGCAAAAGCTAATTGTTGTCAGTTCAGTTAATGTAAGATTACCCTTGGTAAAATTATATCATGATTTAATAACATGAAATAATTTATAAAAGGACACAGTAATTGTTTCATATCTATTCTTGTAACCGTTTACTGCACTTGTACTCTTAACCGATGGGACTGGACTGAGAGCAAGTTAATATTTCCTTTAACTGGTTAACGCGTTAAAAAAAAAATTATTATCGAAGCTTCTAAAACATGGTCATTTTCGTACCAAACCTATTTCAGAGAGTAAAAAAACTTATTCTTGGTCATTGCTTTTATTCTGGACCCCAAATCCAGCCGTTAGGTGGCATTTTGACAAGAAAATGTTAAAAAAAACCCAAATAGAATTTAGTGAATTAGGTCTTGACCCTTGATTCCTAGTGTGAGACCGGAGACATCTCAGTTCTATTAAAGGTTGATCTCATTTATACGTTAACCAGTTAACTGCTCTCAGCTCTGCGATGGGGGATTAGGGTCTTTTGGTCGCCTGATCATGATGATCTGCCCTTTTACGAGTAAGGGCAAAATGACGATTTTTAGACCATCTGGCGGAGACAGTAATGTATTTCTGGATTTGTGGTCTCTTGACACTTTAAAAAAGCCAGACGAAATAATTTAATTTCACGTAAAAAGTTATGTATTCTGATATCACTAAGGAATTCTCTGTTAATAGATTTAATAGTCTGAAAAATGTATAAATATTCCTCATATATTATGTCGACAGTTTTTGCAAGCTGAAACGTCGACTCTATACCTTTGTTTCTTTCGAATTTAGTTTGGTCTTTGATCTGAAAGCTGTATTTTGATCACAATTTAGATACTGGCTAGAATGTAAATTCCTTTCGATTGTATTTGGTAATATAGAGATGGTACTCTGGCACTTACATGTACTTCATTGGCACCTCGTGTATAGCATGGTTGTGGCAATTCGATTAGCCTATATAATATATTTAAGTAATAACTATATGAAGATAATGAGAATAACATCCCCAATAATCAATAGTACAACAGCTATATATTATAGTTTTCTTATTTCTATTTTAATGAGGGCTCCGTGTACCTAATTTGTTTGGCTAATTTAACTAACGATTCGTTCAATTGATTAAGTAGACAGAAATCCGCTAATGTTTTAAAACAGCATTTTTTATTATCAGCAGATGATTAAGGATTATGTCAGTTTGTTTTAGTGTCAATAATCATGTGGTAAATCCGCCAAAGAACTATTAATACACTCTTTAACACCCTTGTTACTATATAAACTTATTTGTTAAGTTTCTATTCAAGTCCCCACATCAAAATGTCATCAACGTCAAATTTGTATTTATAGGCAAACATTGTTTCTAATGTTTAAACGATATTATGTACGGTTATTTTGAAACTATAGTGTCTCTGTGGAACATCTTATTGTTGCCCCCCCCCTCCCCTCCCCTCCCCGGGAACCGCGGTGGCTCGTGGTCGCTCATATTATTGATTGAAACAGTTCATCGCGAATTTCGGGCGTGAGTCTCCCTTGTCAGTGGTACATGATTTCGAAATAAGAGTAGGCCAGCATAGTGCCGCTGTTCGGACAAAACTTCCCTCATAGAACACTGTATGGCGTGATGGTATAGTATTGTTATGCCACAGTAGACCATTAAGTGGGTCTTTAATATGAGGAGTTTATCGTAGTCATTGTAGAAGAATAGATTACACGGATAATGTATACTGCATGTAATTATATACACACAAAGAAAGGAATCAGAAAAATAGAACACCTCTGTTTTAGTAATCAAAATAAACGTAAAACTAACATAAAAACATATATTTTAAATTGAACGGAACAATCAACCACAAATCCATCAACATTCATAGTTTTTGATAATGACAGATTTTCCAGGTCTCACGATGTTAGAAATGCTATTATCACCAAATAAAAGGTTTCAAGATCTGTAGAATGTTTTATTTATTACCACTAGAATGTAATATTTATTACCATAAGGCTAAAACATACATCGAACAAAAAATGGAATAGTAAATAGTAAACCCCCGATTGCAGCAGAAAGAAGGACAGCGGACTTCTTATTTAAGGCCATCTACACTCAAAGCCATAAAAAACGCAATGCCAAATTCAAAGTTTATTTACTGCAACAACTTTCAACAAATTTACATAACAATTGACAAAATCGAGATTACAAGCATCTGTGGATAATTTCATGAAAGAATTCACTACAAATGCACAAAACCGAAACGCCAGAGAACCATGAAACAAAGCAGGGGTCAGCTGAAATCAATATCGAGTATGTCCACCCTGAGCTCTTACACCTGTCTGAAGTAGCCTTGGCAAGGACTGGCACAGATGTCTCACTACACGCTGTGGGATTGTTTGCCAATGATTTTAGAGTGCCTGTGCCAACTCTGCAACAGTTCGTGGTGGCACGGCTTGAGTTCGAACCCGTCGTCCAAGTTCATCCCAAAGGTGTTCGATCGGGTTACGAGCAAAGCGTTCATGTCGACGTCGGTAGATACGGTGACGTCCATCAGGAAAACTGAGGTTGAATCGGAATTCATCCGAGAAGATGATATGACTTCAATTTGCTATATATATGGAAAAAATATTGGTTTAAATTCAGCTGCCCCTAGCCTAAACTTCAATAAAACAGTCCAGAATACTTAAGCCGGGTTGTGAACACAAGACTGTCGTGGTTTAAAATCGCCAGTATTTATAAGCTTGCTTATCGTTCGCCCTCTGATCAGCACATTAGTTATGTGTAATTGTCTCTTTTCAGACCCCGCGACAAAGTCAGAGACGCGAGTTATACCAGCAGGTCAATACACCTACCCGTTCCAGTTTCAGTTACCATCCAATATCCCATCATCATTTGAAGGTCAATATGGTCACATCCGGTATTACATCAAGGTCATGATAGAGAAACCATGGAGATGTGATTACACGTGCCAGAAAGTATATACTGTGATCTGTCCGTTAGATTTAAACAGAGATCCAGCAGCTGCTGTGAGTATTTACTATTTACTTCTTTTACTATACTATATATTCTCCACAGACTATTGGGTTTTTTTTCTAGTAACCAACGAATGTTGTTGATTTGTATTCGGAGCTGCGATGGTTTCGCGCCTAATACTCTAGCTCGCAAATCTGGAGGTCTCGGATTTGATCCCGGTGTTGGCCGACGACGTTCCTCGGGAATTTCTGACGTGCGTTCCCCCTGTCAGTGGTACGGAACTGAGGGCTTGGCAAGGAACAGTGTCTGGTCATTAATTCTGGTGGGGCGAAAAACCGAGGTGCCGTGTTCACAGTGGTGTGTATAGTAGGGCGTAGCGCCGCAGTTATTTGGGCAAAATGTCCTTCACTGCACACTGTATGAAGACCGTCTCCATTAGCCGGTACGGTTTCAGAACAATAGGACGTTGAACCCCTTTTAATTGCTTTCATTTCAGTTGGATTCTTTGAAGTGTAATGGCATTTATTCCCCTCGAAAAAAAAAATGGATTGTTTGTGTCTGAAATCTGAAAAAAAATATCTAAATCACGATGGGTAACTCTAAAAGTCTACTTACGAGGGCTGGATGAAATGTTCTAAGTCTGAAAAGGGTAGATTAATTGGGTTGAAACAAAACATTTTGTCAGCAACGAATGAATGAATCGTAGACATATGAACTGTAGTGTATTATTGTCTTCGTACCAGTGCCTCTTGTGAACCCACCCATTGAAATTACCAGGGGGTGATGTCCGTTCCTTTTCAACAATAAAGACGTGGGCAGCGGATTTAAGTGTGGCGGGAAGAGCCTTAACGCCCACCCCGCTCCTGCAAGACCAGCAACAGCAACTATTTAAGAAAACATTACCCGGGTGCGTGACATAGGGATGGCTGAACTTCGACCCCATGCATGCAATTACTAAAATGTTAGCATTTAATCAATGTTTCAAGTTCACATGGACTGTTTTATATTATATTTGTATTTGCAAAACCCCGAGTTAATTCTTTGAACGATGACATATAATCATAATGACAATTGACTGAATATATACAGTTCACTAAACCTAATTATTATTTTTTTCGCCATTCAACCAGTGTGCAAGTTTTTCTAAATTAGTTTTACCACTTTCAGACACCAATCCGATCCCAAAAGCAAAAGAAATTGTGCTGTCTCTGCTGTCGAACTGGTCCGGTCAGCGCTACTTTAAGTTTAAACCAAAGAGGCTTTGTATCGGGGGAGACTATTCATGTTGATGCGGAAATCACAAATTTAACGAGAAGGAAAATGGGTGCAACTTCTATAGAGCTTAAAATGGTATGTATGTCAGAAATATTTATGTAAATGCCTCATAATTGGTTTGGTTGTTGACTTTAACATGTAATACGTGTAATACATGGTACCATAAATGTTTACAGTAACTATAATTTTGAATTGACCAAAGTATGTCGGAAGGAATAGTTGAAAATGGCATATCTGCAGCGTCCCTTACTTCCATATTGTCTGGCCTGGGGCCCCAGACCCCACCGCGTGGTTTTCGCACATTTGACGCTTCGTCACTATAGCTTTCTTTTCGCATATTTGGCACTTCGTCACTATAGCTCTTCAACATGAAATGTTTGGACTCCCCCCCCCCCACCTCCCTGGAGTTATGATATGTTATAATCCTTTTCGCGGCTGCAAGCTTTAGAATCCGTCCACCAAGCAGGTTAATAGTATAGTATCTACAGTGAACATACTGATTATCTCTTGACAATAATGGCATTAGAAAAAATTGGTAAAGAGTTTCTATTATCGCTCTTATTTCCCTGCAACGCTTAATGATTTTAATTTTCATTTTCAGACCACAACGTTCTTTACAAAAACCAAAACACGATCAGTCACTCAACAAATTATGAAAAGAAAACGGGGTAGGGTGGCTACTGGAGAATCAGAAAATTGGAACAGTGAACCAATAGTTATCCCTCCTTTAGCCCCATCCCTTCTTATTGGTTGTAATATAATTGACGTCAGATACATTCTTGAGGTAGGATCATACATTATTGAAATTATGATTGTGAACGCTGTTTTATACGATAAAAAGAAAATCTTCCTTGTCAGATCATAATGCAATTGTAAACGTCGTTGAGTTGTATTTTTTGTTTTGTGTCCTCGACAGCTCTGGTTTAGAGTAGAAATTTGAGTTCCTTTTTGTGTGGCGCACCGAATCTCTAGCCCTGTCTCTATATCATGAAGGGGTTGTTGTGTGACCCAACAATTTAGTTGATTTTAAACACATGTGACCTCCCTTCTGTGGCGCCGCATGATAAAGGAGAGGGGGTTTAACGTCCACTCGACATAAACCAGGTCATTTCGGGACTAACATATGGTTCAATATTTATTTCAATAATTCGCTTGCGCGTAAGGGTCTTTTTTAGCAGTGGGAGGAAACCAGAGGACCGGAGAAAACCTACGAGGTTGGACAGGCGACCTACTCCTTGTCACATACAACCGGGGAATCGAAATCACGCCAGTTGACTCAATGGCACACCTTATGATACAGCGCGGACGCGCTAACCATACGCCCCCCCCCCTCAACATGATACAGGGACTTTTCTACAACACTAATCATTCTTAAACAGCCGCTAGTATTTAGAGATTTAGCTGATTTGAAACGCCATCCTTATTTAGCATATACATGTAGGTTGCTTCTGCGATGAATACATTCTACCAATTCAGTCGGTGTTGGGATCTTAATGGGACACATTTACGGAATCTACGTGAACAACGATTGTTAGGATATTGTAGTGTTTTAAAATAATGCTGATTGGCCTCAAGAACTAAAATATAAGGATATGTTCTTATAACTATATTGATACATTAGGCCTAACAGTCTGACCCAATCCACCGATTTGGAGATCATGCAGAGACGTCACGAGCTATGAAGGAACCGTCAATTAATATTCTCAATGTTATATATTATAGTTACGGGTAGAACCAGTGGGTCCAGCCTTCGATTTATCGATTCCAATAGAGATATTCATTGGAACCGTGCCTTTACATTCAACAATACAGCGACACCTGGCAATTAGTCAAGGGAGGCAATCATATCATCACTCGCATGGCGCTGGAGCTGAACAATTATACCATCCTAATACATACTTACGTAAGTTTAAACATTTGTAATTAGTATTTTTATGATTAGCAAAATATGAAAATAGTTTAATCATAGTATTTCTTGATGGTTATAATGCTCCCAATTTTAACACGGCCGCATATGGTTGTCAGTACTGTCTGTTAGCCCGTACATCCACTCCCACGTCTTTGGCGCTTGCTCTTATAACCATAATATTGACATGGAATTGGCATAGTGTTTACGTGGTTAAACATACATTATGCAAGAGCTAAATCTGCCAATTGCAGGTCTTTCGTTAGGCCTAAAATGTTATATAAGTTATTAATTAGACCATAATCAACTCTCGATGTCATCGCTACCCTGCGATACTTACTGGATTAGAATCCGAACTGCTGCTCAACGCTCATTGATAATTCAATCAAAAATTGGATAATCGGGACTATGTTTTTATCGTACCGACTTTAGTAATGATGATCGAGGCTAACCCCAAAATTCAATTTGACTGAAATTTTTAGCAAATTCCCTTTACATTATCTAGTTTTTAACTATTATAGTGGGAACTGCCAACTCTTTATCTAATCTCCCATAATGTATCTTTAAGACGAAGAAACTAATTACTGATTTCAGATAATTAGTGCGTTATTGCTCTTGATTACCCTGAAAGATTCCCTGTTCGTGCTAGCTGCTAAAATACGGGGGGGGGGGGTCACGTGGCTAAATGGGTAAGACGCTGGCTCGCTAGCCTGGAGGTCGGGTGTTCGATCCCTGCATTGGCTGAGAAAGTTCATCTAGATTTTCCGGCGTGGTTCCCCCTTGTCAGGGATGCAGGACGGATGAGACAAAAAACCGAGGTCCCGTGTATACATTGGAATGCACGTAAAAGATCCCTTGGCAGTTGGAATTCGATATAAATAAGAGTAGGCGATAGTGCCGCTGCCCGGGCAAGATTTCCCTCATAGCACACTGTATGGCGTATGCCCGTCTTCATTAGCCCAGCATAGGAGCAGAACAGTAGGACGTTAAACCCAATTCATTTCATTTCATTTCATTGCTAAAATACGACCGAGTCGGAATTTATGGACAATTTATGTTGATTAGATGAAGATCATTTTTATACGCCCACATAGAAATGTGGACGTATATTGCCGTCGCCCCCGTCCGTACGGACGTCCGTCCGTCGTCCACAATTTCTTGTGAACGCTCTAACGCCAAAAGTTAACATCCGATCTTTGTGAAATTTATATGCAATATTTAAATTAGGGAAACGAAAAAGCCTATTGAATTTCAGCAATTTCCGTTTATTACTTCTAGAGCTATGGCCCTTGTTTCACTTTTTTTTAACCTTGTGAACGCTCTAGCCCCAAAAGTTATCATCCTATCTTTCTGAAATTTCTATGCATTATCTAAATTAGTGAAACGAAGAAGCCTATTTAATTTCAATAATTTCCGTTTATGACGTCTAGAGTTATGGCCCTTGTTTCACTTTATTGAACCTTGTGAACGCTCTAACACCAAACTTTATCATCCGATCTTTCTGAAATTTATATGCATTATTTAAATAAGTGAAACGAAGAAGCTTATTGAATTTCAGCAATTTCTGTTTATTACGTCTAGAGTTATGGCCCTTGTTTCACTTTATTGAACTTTGTGAATGCTCAAATTATAATCTGATCTGTATGGAACTGTCTTGTAAAGGCCCCCAATTACCTACAAAGGAATAAATATGCGACAACCCTTGTTGACCGCTCGGACGATTTAGCCGCTGTGGGCGTATGTTTCCTTGCCTGGCAACCTATCTTAAAATATAATTATTGTTGGCGATCTACAGGCTTTAGCGATCCTCGCTGTCTTAAATTTATAGACGGTTGGTATGTCAACAGGGCCGCATACAGAATTTATATTGTAGAGAATGCGGAACCCAAATTGAGAGGCCCGAAGTTACAGGATATGCATATATTCCAGGATATGAATAACTTTAACTAGGCCTATATTCATTCATATTTAAGTCCAACTATGCTTTACTTCACAATTAGTTGATTCATATATGAAAATAGCGACCCCTGATAGCCCTGCTGCCAGATTGCCTGGAAATGTTAGTGCGGGGCTTTATTTGAGGAAATTGGTCAGATGTGCCAAAATCCGGCCCTGTGTAAAGGGGAGGAGTGCAGTTTGTTACATTTTACATTAAAACAGTTTGTGACATCCGTATTTTCATTTCATATGTTTGCGCAATATCATCGGTACCGTACAGTGTTGATTTCTTTTCTATATGTGGAGACAGCTATCATTCCCGGCAAAGACAAAACAAACACCGAACGGGCGCAGCCAAATAATTTATTGATGCTTGATATATACAAATATACTTTGTTTACGATTTTATATAATAAAAGACATGTTGATTGTACCTTTTGAGATTTTATAACGTTTTATAATATAGCGGCAAATAATTAGTAAGTTAATTGTATATTTTTTGTGTCGTGTTGTTATTTATTAATATCGATGTAATTATATATATTAATAACTTTGTAATTGTATTTGTTAATAACTTTCTACTTGTATTTATATATTTTAGCCCCTCCTGGCTTTGCTAAATATCCCTTTTATACCTCCCGGGTTACAGAAGAAGACGACGAAGATCGGGACAAGGGAGACAACTACTATACCCCCGCCTACGTTTATTATTTGTGGAACAGTGATCAAAATAACTCCAACCACCCTCCTTAAAGTCTGGGAATATGGAGATTTAGTCGAAATCTAAATTAAATTGATTTATAATGTAAACATATATTTTATCTACATCAACTATAGCCCAGAGGAAATTTAACGTGCCTTTTTTATGTTTAATGTCGTCACGCCCACCCTTTCATCGTCCACAATTGTTCTAGAGTCTAATGTTATCATTTAATTACTTGCAGATTAACATGATCATTCGATTGTTCATGATTTCCGAGTTATCGTCCTTAATCATTTTTCTAAATCTACACGCTCTGGATGCTACAGTTATCATTAGATGGTCTTTAATTTTATCATTCGTGTATACCCAGTGTTTCTGTTCATTAGAAGAAAAAAACTTCATTTGAAGAACAAAATGTCACCACAACCTTTATGGTCTGCTCAAACGACTTAATAGCTATGGGTGTAATGCCTGACAATCCATCTTTGTATCCATAAACCAACGAGTAAATGTATATAATATTATGAAAAATGCGACATGTTCTATCAATCAGTATCTTCAACATGCCGTCGCCTCAAGGGGTTACACATTCTATTGACGTACTCGTGTGAGACGGATTAATCCTTAACTTTGCTAAATTAGTTTGGTTAGATAGGTTTATTTGATAAGTAAAAGGAATTTGAATGTAGTAGTATATAAATGAGTGAATGAAATTTGGTGGGGTTGGGGCGGGGGGGGGGGGGGGTACGTCCTACTTTAGCAAATGACAGTGTCGATTAAAAATGTGATCCATATTTTGTTCTTTTTATAACAATTGTACATTAAATATTTTTATACATGTTATCACATTAGTTCTTGTATCGTTGACATATATATCATTTAGATTATCTTTTTTTATATGAAATAAAATTTAGTTTTTAGATTTCTTAAATTGTCGGGGTATGATTACAACGTTTTTTTCCCAAAAATTAATTTCGTGCAACCGGAGTTTATCGCCTCTTACATATTAGTATTCTACGCATCCTGGCTAAAAATTTATTTTTTTAAAACACGAGAACAGTTCCCGCTAATCTAGCCTAGTTGTGGGCGTGTCTGTTAGGGGTAACCCACCGCACAAACTGTCTGGCAGTGGCCATTAATGATTCCTGTGGTGGTACTAAACAGCTCCAAAGCTGTTTTAGGTGGTACAGATTTCAGCTAATCTAGCCTTGCTATGGACTGGAAATTAGATAACTCTTGTCAGAGAGACGCCACCACTAAAAATGTCTGACAATTACATAGCTCTGCCAGGGGTTCCCAACCATTAGAAATGTCTGTCAGGGTGTTTTTGTAATACATGAAAATGTACGGTACACTAGTTGAGGGGCATGTCATTTTGGGCGTGGAATACCACACCCACCACCAGAAACCCGGCAGACTTAGATTCTCATGATACCAGATATACATTTAGTTTAAGATGTTGTACATCTCTATATTCTTTTAAAAAACAACTTAAAACACATTTATTTAATCAGGCTTTTAACTGACTCTGTATACAATCGTTAACATGTCCATAATCTTGTTGTTTATGTGTGATTTACATGGTCACTTTGTAAAGTGCCCCTGAACATGTTATATGAAAGGGTGCACTATAAATATGCTGTAATAATAATAATAATAATAATAATACCATATAGGAGAAAATTGGTACACTTTTCAGCTAGGTTGACCCCCTGGGCTCCTGGTCTATTAAGCTCCACCCAATCTACTAGAGGGAAAACAATATGCTTATTCAACGAAAAGAATAAAGGAAGATTACCTGCGGTTTGTCCCTGTGAAGTGAGAGTGGTAGTTGCCTCAGCTCTGTGAAGACCTACACTCAGATGATTCCATCTACGAGATCGAAGTTTCTGAAATATCATACAATGATTCACACATATCGTGTTAATTTTAATTATACCCAATACATGGGTGTTCGTAATTTTTGCTTTTGAAAGTTTGGCCAGATTTCTGAAAATCATATTTTTTTCAAAAAAAAATTCAAACCATAATTATTTCTATATCTGTTGCTTAAAGATACATTATGTAAGATTTAGATAACGAGCTAGCCATTCTTGCTATAATAGTTCGAAAATAGATAATGTAAAATGAATAATTTGAAAATTTCATTCAAATTACCCCATTCTGAGCGAAGAGATTAGCCTTTGAAGGTTTGACAAGACGTGTGCGATAATATTACCCTTTGAAGGTTTGACAAAACGTGTGCAATAATTTCAACCACCGCACCGGTTGTTCGAAGTTAAGTCTCGCTTCTCCATTTTTAGCTTAAATCAAAATATAGCTGAACGGCTCTAATCTATTTAACATCGGAGAAATCCGATGCCATCGAGAGTTGATTATGGCCTCGACAAGTTAATTAATGTCTAATTAATAATTTAGAAAACATTTCAGGCCTATGCTCTTGCATAATGTATGTTTAATAGGTTGTCAAATCACTATTATACAATCAAAGAAATCATTCTTTCACTTACAAAACATTCACATAAAAATTGTCCAGGTCAAACAGATAAGGATAATGATGCCTGATCGACCGATGCAAAATTATCTATAAACCTTGTTTTGATCAATGACACTATTAGTTTCGATGGCTAAAGTAACACTTTCAAAATCAAACGTTTTACTTTCAACAAAAAATGATATTTTGCAACCGAGACTAGTGAATTATATTATTTTATATTATTTATAGTACAGAGGTTCCCAAGCTTTTGTTAGTTGCGAGTTTTGAGACCCCAGAAATGATAATCTGGTCGAAGAACAAAGTCGCCTTTTTCTATAAACATCATTATTTACAGATCAAAATGTTGTAATGAGAGACTGGGGAAACAAATCGTGAGCGTGAGAGAGTAAAGACGATTGGCAATGTGGCAAGAGGTGTATAGATCAGAGATTTGTATGCTTTTCGTGAAAACATAGCATTTTTTCAAAAGTTTCATAGTAGTCCGTCAAAAGAATCCACAAAAAGTGCTCCGCGACCCCTGTTGGAAGGTTCGACAAGATCTATAGCGTACACTGTTCATTTTCGCAGCGTGCTTGGCAATCGAGTCGAAGTCTCGATTATCCATTTTATCGTTAAACTTTTAAATCTCACGGATGTTCTAATCCATTTGAATCTCAGCAATCCTGTGTACTGGAAGGTTTCGCAAGATCTTGCGTACATTGATCATTATAGCAGCAATGGTACTTGGCAATCGAGTCGAAGTCTCGATTACCGTTTATCGTTAAACTTTTAAATCTCACGGATGTTCTAATCCATTTGAATCACAACCCTCCGGTACGGTAATCTAGAGAGTGGATGATGGACTTTTCATGTGAATAAATGACTAAAAAATAGTTTATATAACAAAGACCTACAATAGGCAGATTTAACTCTAACATAAAACATCTTTAAAGAAAAATATAATAAGTATTTATTTAGTGTAAAAACATAAAAGTGTTACTGAGTATATTTCAGTATTTATAAAACCGGAATTCAATGATGAGATTAGGAATCGAATATTTAAGATAATTTCAATACAAAATTCAACCTCGTGCTCAACCCAGGATATGATGATACATTGGAATTGAACTAAAAAAAACATTAACATAATACATAGGGATAAACGTCTATACCGGGTAATAAATATACATCATTCTCGAATGAAACCAAATAAATATTCTATCATATTCCAAACAAATTTTGGAGGTGGATGGATATCATCATTTACAGCTGCTATTGACATGTCCCAATAGTCTAAATACACAACACGAGAATGAAACTCTTTCATTTCTTCGTGTAAAATAGATACAAGATGGCGACCCATAAAATCATTTATGCAAGGGACCCAACCAGTACAGTAAAATACATGTGGCCCTTTTATTAATACTTGAAGTTCACTGTTTCTATTCAATGCATTTCTTAGAGCAGGTAGAAACGATTGGATTGTATCTCTGAAAATATTATATCGCATTCTCGCAAAATGACCATACATGTGCATTGCCACCACATATCGTCCACTTTTAGGTATACTATTAAATATAGATGTATAAGACTTTATTGTGTATTTTGCTCTGCCCGGTCCTTTGATATCGCTGTACAGATTAGGATAAGCGTGTAGTATAAACTCCACGGAACCTTTCCAGTCTTTGCGATGACACACACTTCTAGACACGAATTTGCATTTAATGGACTTTGTTAATGCAACGAACCATTGTTGCATGGTGGAATCTCCCACCATTATTAACTTTGTTTTATTCAGAGCTTTGGATATTTTAGTTGAAAGATTATCTGAAGTGTCACATTTTGTTGATTGATAAAATGACCCGTTAAAATATCCAGTCGGTGTAGAGAGATCCCACGTTTCACATTTAGGGAGATTTGAACACAGTGGAAGATTGGTCCTTGAAATATCTTTACCTGATAAAAGATAAAATAAAATTGATATTAGCGTTGATTTTTTCTGCAAATTAGCTAAAAAGTCGGGTATACGAAATGGGGTTTAATGTCCTACTATTCTGCTCCTATACTGGGCTAATGAAGACGGGCATACGCCATACAGTGTGCTATGAGGGAAATTTTGCCCGGGCAGCGGCACTATCGCCTACTCTTATATCGAATTCCAACTGCCAAGGGATCTTTTACGTGCATTCCAATGTATACACGGGACCTCGGTTTTTCGTCTCATCCGAAGGACTAGACAGCTGTCCTTGTCAGGCCCTCCGTTCTGCACTACTGACAAGGGGAAACCACATCGGAAAATCCAGATGAACTTTCTCGGCCAATGCAGGGGTCGAACACCCGACCTCCAGGCTAGCGAGCCAGCGTCTTAACCACCCAGCCACCGTGGCTCCCTCGGGTATACGACATCAATTGAATTCCAACCGCCAGGGGTTCTTTTACGTGCATACAGGGCCTCGATTTTCGTCATATCTCAACGGCTAGACGCATTTTCTTGCCAGGATCTACAGACTGCACCACTACAAGGGCATACCATGCTTGAAAATTCTGGGAAACTATCTCGGGCAACACCGGTTTCGAACCCCGACCACATGGTTAGTTTGCCAATTTGGTAAAAGTCCACTCGACACAAAAATGGTCATTTTGTTACTAACATATCAAATAATTTTATTTCAATAATTCGCTTGCACGTAGGGGTCTTTAGCAGAGTGGGGGGGTGGGATGGGGTCGGGGGTAACCGGGGAACATTGGGAGGGGGGGAACCCAAAGCACTTTAATGTGTAAAATACATCCCACTTACTTACCTTCAATGTTTACTATTACTGAAAGGTTTCGATCTGTGTGACTGCATGGTGCCCTGTTAATAATGTTAATGACAGTTTTATACGTGTATATAATAAATAAAACAAAATTAAGACTGAAAATCGAGTTTGTAAATAAAATATTTCCGTTTTTTTTTTTCAATAAACACTTACCATGTCAACTTTCCTATTATATGAAGGTGAAATAGTTTAACGTTCTTACATTTACGTACCGACTAGGCAAATGAAGAAAGGCATGCGGTGGTACTACACCCTACTCTTATATCCAATTCCAGTTGTCAAGGGTTCTTTTAGTAGCACAAAAATATACATGGGACCTGGGTTTTTCCTAACATCCGACGCCGGGATCGAACCCCGGGCCTACTATTAGAGAGCCAGTGTCTTATTCACTGAGTTACCTTTATTCTTACATGTTATCGTTACATGCATTAGGGTATAATCCAACAGTGCCTGGAGTCAACCAAAATACATGTATATAAGAAATACCTTGATAGCAGTTTACTTTCGGCATGCGTAGCTCCAACATCGGAAAATCTGTAGTCTCTGAGCCCCGAAAAATCGTCACAAGTTAGAGTAGCTGATGGCGGACGGCCACAATACCAAGGACGTCCATCATTGAGTGTGGTGAAATTGCAGATTTCCTGATATCCAATTATTTTAGGCAATGGTAAACATAGAGTGTTTTGATTCAATGTGCCTTTGATAAACAAACCAATGTGATAATACATAGAATTCAGTGTTCTGTACCATCTGAATAATGTGGCACTTTCTTCTCTGTAATAGGGTATAACAATCGAAACAGTGTTAGTACCATTCCAAAGTGTAGGAAATCTCACTAAATACGTCCCGTTATTGAAATCAAACACCCGACCCGACATCGCCCTTTTGTTCTTAGACCTCGTTATCCAGGCACGGACATCGTCTCCGCCCCGTTTTAAAATGTTTCCGTGTTTGTCTTTTAGGATTAACTGTATCTGCAATTCGTGTTTAGTTTTAAGAGCTAAACGACCGGTTAAGACTATGATTACAGATTTTGAAAGATCGGGCACTTGCGTTTCATTTGTAATTCTCTTGTCACGTATCGTCATTTTTTCTGCCGTTATCATCTGTTTTGTAAACAGAAATTGGTTATCCGAGATAAGTAAATGGTTATAAATTTGATTCTGAGAGTAACACATACACTGCGACCCTCGGCACTTAGGTGAAGGCGTTAAAGTAACATTTATACACGCATCTGAACATTTCCTACACCCGTGATTTAGACTGGATACCTTTATATCTTTAGGTAGTTGATAAATAAAATCGGACAGATCCAAAGACGTATTTATAAGTTGCTTGTATCTGTCTACATATTGTGGATAATTCATTTTAAAGTGATTCATATTTATTATGAACCTATCGTTTGAAAAATCCAAACCAGGCGACACACCAATTGTGTTTCTGTAAAATAAAATTCACAATAGCTAAACATATATTATGCAAGAGCTAAATCTGCCTATTGCAGGTATCTCTTTAGGACTGAAAAGTTATATAAATTATAAATTAGACATTTATTAACAAAACGAGACTATAATCAACTCTCGATGGCATCGGATACTCGAGATTTTAACTAGATTAGAACGGTTCACCTTTTAATTTAAAAATAGGAAAGCGAGACTAAGTCTCTAATATACCAGTGCCCTGGTTAAGACAATGCACACATCTTGTCAAAACTACAAACAGTGATAACTTGGCTCAGAATGGAGTAATTTGAAAGAAATTTTCAATATCTTCATTTTAAATTATCTATTTTTTAAGCTATATTATAGCCAGAATGGTCAGCTCTTTATGTAAATTTTACAGAATGTATGTTTAATGATTCTTAATGAAGGAGTAGCATTTCTTTAGTTGATAAATAACTACATTTCGAAATACTTCGCCTATATATGTCTGATGATTGGGGAAAGGGTGGGATCCAGTGGTCTAACGTGTGGGCTTTAGATCATAAGGTCTTTCATTGAGTCAAATGACGTGGTTTCAATCCTTCATCATGTGTTAGCTCCGAAATTACATATTGTTTGTGTCATACACCACATTTGTTTCGGAAGTCCTAAAATATAGATCGATCTGATTATTGTGTTTCAATTAATGAAGAATGAACCTACCGCCATTTAATTGTCAGGAAAAGTGAAAACAATCCACAGACTAAATAACCGAATATTTTAAAGCGCCTCATCTTAATATATCTGTAAAAGAAATGATAATTTAATCTGTGTATTAACACCTCTAATATATAAGAAAGATCTGTGTAGTACAACTGGTTCACTGTCTTCAACGCTGTGTTTTTCCTTTCGTGACCAAAACTGCAGACTAAGTTTTATTTTTGAAAATGTGGGGCAATTGATCGTCACAACCCCCCCCCCCTCCGTTCTCAAAAATAATATGCTTTTTTTATAGATGTCAAGACAGTCTGCGTGAGTTCCCCGCTCTCTCTTTTATAGGTGCCAACAGTCCTCATGGACTAAAACCCTAAATTCTAAATATTTAATAGACATGCACCCTACCTTGCATACCGGCAGGGACTATTACCTAATTTGGCCAACAAAATATATTCCATCACTGTCGGTGGGGTTTCAAAAACAAGCGGCCAAATGATGTTTATAACAATCAAAAAGCTAACTGACCACACTGTTTATTACCCTTTCATTTATGGCAAGGTTTTGGGTCGCCATGTCTATATACCATTTAATGTATCAAAATACCACACATTACGTGCTATATTTCTTGTTGATGAATTTGGAACCAATAATTGGAAAGGCCGTAATATTGTTACATCTCAGAATAGTTTCTATACTGATATACGTACGGAGGTTTGAACAGAGAAAGTACTAATAAATCTATAGTTAGTATGAACATAACATAAAGTACGCGAGTGGCCACGTGGAATTCCATAAAATGAAAATTTAATCATAACTGAAACGAAAACATTTGTAACGCTATTTAAAAACAAGTGAATTACATTAAAAATTTAAATACAGAAAAAAGTTGAAATCTTTAAAGGAACATAATAAACAAGGGAAAAAGATACAATCAAATTACTATTTCCCACATGGCTCACCGTAGTGAATGTCTGTTTTATATACGTCAGAAAAATGACCGTACATTGCATAAGACTGTTACATAACAAAATCTAATATATGGTTTTTGTTTCTAGAGGGGTGAATGATTTCATGTGTCTTCAATGATGCAGACAGCAGAAAATTGTTATATCAAAATTATTATTAATATTTCACTTCTAATAGTTATTATAGCAATTCTCATTCTCCACAATAAGCTCCAAATGACCTACTTAGTCTTTTGCCATCAACATTTGACCCGATTTCAAAGTTTTGCACTTAAAAAAAAAAATATATGACATCACTTCAAAAAAAAGAAAAAAGAAACGTCACAACCAGGCATCACTTCCCTTTAGATGTTACCGATTTTGTCAAGAATCTTAAAGAAAAAAAAATTATTAACTAATTATAGTAATAGTAATCATTTCAACTGGGCAAAATTTAGCCATTTTAAAAGTTGCACAGAAACTTTGATTACAAACCAATTTTAATACAAATTTTAAAAAAGCACCAAATGACCTACTTAAAGGGAGAATAACACTCTTGCTGGCTTGACAGCTCCAGAAAATAAATAATAGCCTTATTCTAAGTACTAGATGTTTAAGTGTCCTACCTGTTGTGTAAATTATCCGTTACATCCTACTTTACTTGTCCAGAGGGTTCGAAAATATTTTTAAATCCAAGTCACATTTGAAAAGGTTTAGGTTATAGGCTTTTAAATTAGGTATGTTAAGATGAAATTTGTATCACTAATTAATTGGAATATTGTAAAATAGTACAATTTGTTGACCAGAATAAAGATTGGGACATATTATTCAGTTACAACAAGAGTGGTATTGAGCCTTTAATCGTTTGTCATTTTGACATGATTTCAAAGTTTTGCTCTTTTGAATGCGAACTCAAATCCTACACAATATGAACCTGTTAACACCTATTCATCTCGAATGACTGGGTTACAGAATCAACAGTCTTCCATGTAGAATATAGCAATAAATAAAGTAATCACCAAACCACCTTGTCTCTCGTGCAACTTGGTGTTATACTGACTAAAAGATATATACAGACAGACGACAATGTTATAAGTTGTTACAAGCCATGATTTATCAGCGACAATAATGTGTCATCTGTCATTGTCCTCGTCCTACAAAACTTTATATTTAGTTAAATAGTTTTACTGACATCGAAATTCTACTTCTGAAAAAGGGGATTAAAATTCACACCTATCTAAAACCAATATGTGTGAACTTAAATATTTCTGGCGACGTATCTTTGCTTGATAAAGACGGGAGAACCCTCGTCGAAACGTCGCCAGAAATAAAGGCCAGAACGAAGCTGTTTATGTGAACTTATTTGAAGAACATATTTTTTGGTAAATTTTTATTTATTTTCAAGAAAACACATTATACCACATTTTGAAGTAAAAACATAGAAAAAGTTCAAAAATATAAAAATGTTTTACACATTTACAATGCTATAACAATAAGAAATTCTTTAATAACCCTCAAAAAAGAAGTTTGGTCTTTTTATATAAAGAACTATCTGTGCATACTAATTTATGATGACAAGCATAGTTACCACAAGATAGTCACAATATATAGTTAGCACAAGATGGAGTATAGGGTAATGTGGAGTAGCTATGAAAGATACAGAAATCAAATTTATATCGATAATAACACCAGTATTTAATATCGGCCATTTTAAAACTTGCGCGAGTGGTGGAAGTGGGGCAAATAGCCCACTACTGGTCGGGGCATAGCGCCTATACCTGGGCGACATACCCGACACTACTGACCCGGGCTGATTACCCCCAAATTAACGCAAACAATTTTTATACGCCCATATTGTAATGTGGTCGTATATTGCCGTCGTTCCCATTCGTCCGTCCGGCTTCCACAATTGCTTGTGGAAAATTGCTTCTTGAAGCAAGAAAGCGAGTGTAAATTATTAGCAAACAGATTAAACAACTTAGAACAATATACACGAAAAGCCCATCTGCGAGTATTTGGGATAAAAGAAACACCAAATGAAGATTGTGTCAAAATTGTCTCCATGTTAATCAAAGATAAGCTGAAAATTGATAAACCAATCTCTATTGAGGCGGCTCATCGTCTTGGTCCTTTTCCCCATGTTTCAAATGATGACACTACTCCAAAAACTGAAAAACCCAGGGGAATTATCGTCCGATTTTTGAGAAGGGACGAGAGGCAATTAGTTGTTTCAAACAGACGAAAATTGACCAAATCAGGTATTTCTTTCGTCGAAGATATGACAGTGGAGAACATTAGACTCTTAGATAAACTTCAAAAACACCCACTCGTAAAATCATCACGGTTCTCAAATAGAAAGGTTAAAGTACAAGGACACAAAAAGTTTGTAGAGTGGAGTTAGTTCCAGAATTAGATAACCAGTTAATTAGGAAATTAAGTATGGCGGTATATTAGTGCCAAAATTCTAACATGCTATCGTCTAACTTCTAACGTGCTATCGTCTAACTTCTAACGTCTATTCGTGTAACTTCTTATCTAAGACAATGTATATTCTAATTTCTTCATTTGTTCCTCGTAAATGGGGCCTTCTAATCTTGCAATTTTTATTCTATTTCATGTTATTTCTATTATTGTAAGGACAAATTTTCATTTCGACAACGCTTAACATGTTTAGAATGACCATTGAACAAATTTAGAATGAACATTGAACAAATTTAGAATTTGATACGTCTACCTAGCAACCGTCATTATGACGTCGTTTGGTGTCGCCACTGTATGCGCAACTATCCACGCAATTACTGCTCACGGCCGGAAGTTAAGACCGTTTTACGGCAGTTCGTGAGAGAAAAGTAAACATCTTTTTGCATTGTCCGTATAGATATACGGTCCATGCATGTACAAATGACAAGATATCAACTTCAAGATGGAACACCATGAATGTATTAACTTTTTAAGTGGCCGACTTCAACGTATTATTTATATACTTGAAAGTAACAGCTATAACTCGTTAGCAGACATTATGAACAATTTGGAAATATTGATGGGTACATTTGCTGATGTTATAAACAGTCCATCGAATTCCAATGATCTTGACGAGGAGATGCCACATGCAATTTTACAGTGTTTGCACTTTTTATGTGGCGCAGTGGATCAGCTGGATCGATTAAATACGGATCAAGTAGTAACACAGACACGACACCCTATTGTGGGGACAAGTACTGGCCAACGAGGTAGACCAAAATTTTGCATTCCAGTAGAGACATTGGAATACCTTTTGGATAACGACTTTTCAGTCCCACAAATAGCGCACTTACTTT